TAGAGTGTTTCATATTTTTGGCTGAAATAAAACTAAATCTGCATCCTATAAAATTATAAATAGACTCCTATTATCACTTGAAGCAGAGAGAACTTGAAGCTTTAGATTGGAGCATTGAGTAAGAAATTAGACTTGGAGTTAGAGAGAGCTTAAAGCTCCACCCAATGTTCAACACTAACAATCAATGCCAATAACAGTTATTGCTCATCCATCATAGCTTAGTCATCATGTCCCATTTGTTATTGCTTGTCAATCATTGCCCAACCATGCATGCACTACTGCCTAAATATTGTCAATCGACTGTAATCTCATTGATCATAATCACCTAACTATGGTAGTTGGATGACAATAGTAAGGGCAATGTTGTTTGCTGATAATAGCTTGGGGGCTTTAATTGGATGAAGATGACACAACTACAATCTACTTGAACACTGTCATCCAACCATCATTTCCCAACTACAGCCTCTTGACCACTTCAACCCAATTATGATCTCCCGACTACCATTGTCTAAGCATTGTTATCCAACTACAATCTCATGAACATTGTCATTTAATTAGAATCTCCTGATCAACACCACCCAACTACCATCACAAGACCAGAACAATGCTCTCCAACTTCATCAACTTTCATTGCTAATAGTACTATTGTATTCTATTGCCTACAAAATTAATGCACACCATCTGTTATTAAACTGATTCATGTCATCAACATCAAGGACAATGCCAACTTATAATATATATACATGACATCATCAATAAAGTGATGCATTATGTCAACAACAACTCAAATTCTTAATGTCAACACTAAGATTATATTGAACCTCTTGATTTATGTTTTTTTTTTCTTCATAAAAAGAGAATGAACAAACATACTACAAAGTAGCTCTTCAAGATAACTCCAAACCTCAAGGCTTCTCTAACCTTCGCTCGAATATGTATTTCACCATTTATATATATATATATATATATATATATATATATATATATATTTGGAGAAATTATTCTGTGTGAAGGCCGGACGTAAAACGTCATCCAGAGACTAACCAAAATGTGCCACGTCAGCGGTACCGAGCCGCAGTACACAGCGAATGAATGACGTGACGTATTTTGATTGATTTCCGGACTCTGGATGACACTTAACGTCCGCACAAAATAATTAATCCTATATTTAGCTTATGCTTGGTGATTTGAAATAAAGATATTTTGGGAAAAATAAAACTATTTGAATTGCACATTTTTCAATAAGACCCTCAGCTTTATCGAATTTATAGCAACCTAATCAATGTTGGGGATAAGGTTGGCTCCTTACGAGGAAATCTTCTAAGTAGCAGCCAACGAACACGACAGCAAATAAGGTTGCCGAAATTCAGCGTTCTGAGGTGTCCATTTCTCTTTCAGCATTTGTGTACAGAATTTTCAAATTTTCATTCGATCGTCTCTTAAGTTCAGTGCACGTACGGATTTTGATTAATTAATTAATTAATTTTGAAATTATTTTTCGTCTAAGATAACGACTTAGTAAAATAAATAAATATCTTGACAGGTCACAAATTTGTTGTGTTCAAGAATTGGAGATAATAATGTGCGCTATTATTTGTTATGATATATAAAGTTAATAGATGGATAATATTTAGAATGATATTTTTTATTTTTTAAAATAGTATAGTTTGCTCTTTACAAAGTATTTAAAAGATGAATGCAATTATTTATTCTATCTTTTATTGATCTTTTGAGATTATATGTTATTTTTATCTCGTGACAATCGTTCTCTCGAAGCTTGTATGCATATTGCTGTGCAAATCATCTTGAGAATTTTGAACTTCACGCCCTCATCTATTAAAGCAGCTTTCTTTCTGGTTCTTAAAGTAGTTTTCTAGTACAAAAAATTTATTTTTTGCACTAAAAAATTTATTTTTTGTACTAAAAAATTACTTTAAGAAGCATAAAGAAAGTCGTCCCAAGCGAAGCCTGACCGCTTTCAAATTTTATATTAGAAAGTTGATTTTTAGTTAAAAAGTTAAAAAAAATTATATTAGAAAGTTGTTTTAAGAAGTAGTAAGAAAGTCATCCCAAACGAAGCCTAAGTGGTACATTCAAATTGTTGATAAGAAACGTGATTGAAAATGATCATCGCCAAATAACCTGTTGTCAAGCAATTATGATATGGGCGAGCTAACTAAGGTGGCATAAAGAAAATGTCGTTGTTCCTATTTCTGTTGTTCATAATTGTCAATAATTGATAATCTATATTGTTTGTTATTGATCATCATGAAAAATATTATGAATATAATCCAAATAAATAAGAAAAAAAAATATTTGGCGAATTTGAATTCTATGTACAGACATTTTTCTGTACCGCTTATGGGATTATTAAATATCGAAGCTTAAAATGTTACTTGATTTATTTGAGAATTTCTACAAGTTGTCATCAATGCATCAATAATTGCTTCTTAATCTTTAATTGCATTGCAAATATTTCATATAGAATCTATGTCGCAACCTCATTTTTACTATATTTGACTCTCTCGAAATCTATATTATAATCTCACTCATGTCGGATTTGCTGACACACGAAATGCTTATTTGGGACGGTTTTTTTATTACTTCTTAAAGCAGCTTTTTTATTACAAAATTAAAATTTTTGTACTAAAAAGATACTTTAAGAAGCTTTTATGTTACTAGTCTTCTATAAATAGTGGATGATGTTGAACAAGACGAGGACAATAGATTTTTTTTGCAAAAAAAAATTTGCAGCTAAAAAATATTGTATGACACTCTTTATTTTACTTGATTATTTATGTGAATGACATAAAAAAATAGATTGGACAATCAAGATTGATCGTCTCTCAGTAATTAAAATTTTGTATAGGCAATATTTCTAAATTATAGTTTTTTTTTTAACCATCATGCTATTTTTTACATTTATAAAATTAATTCAGTATTTACACCTTGAGACATTATGGGCTAGCTTTGGCCCATTTGTTGTACTAGCTTTTAATTATTTGCTTGCAGCTTTTGCAGGTAAAGCCCGGTGCAGATTATAAATTCATATTGTTTGAGAAAAAAAAGAAAAAAAAATCGTGTGCGTAAGATAATATGCTTTCCAATTATTGTGGGCAATTATTGCTGTCTTGTGATATCAATGGCTGAGCTACATGTTATTATTATTATTATTGCCAATTTGCCATGATGTTTGAAAATCATCCGGTCATCCAATTTATGCCATGATTTTTTCAATTATACTTCAAAATTCAAATACATGATTTGGGCTCATTTCAACTATAATTAGACGGCAATTGGTGTCATTGGGTTTGTCTCATCGAGGCGATTAGTTTGACTAAATTTGTTAAAATACAAGGTTTTTAAAATCAGACAGGACCGGTCGATTCAGGTTCATTAGATAACTGTGACAACAAAAAACCAGGCTAAAACCGGTCGGACCGTGAAACTAGCAAACCGTCTCCTATTTTAAAAAACAACTGGTTCAATTAGATCGAATATCAGCCAATGGAAATAAATCATATGGTATTGTGGAGAAATTAGGAAAGTAAAAAAATCTAATAATTCTATTCCAGGTCTTCCTATCTTGCCCGTCGTCTGCTCTTCCCGTTCACTCTTCATTCGTGTGCTATCCCGCTTGCGGTATCCTCTTCGTTTGTGAGGTTGACGAGGGGCTACAAACCGAAGGCATTTCTCCTCTCCGGCTTAGCGTCACTCTCCTTGAGTCCTTTCTCTTCTCTGCTTCAAATCCAAACTGTGGGATGTAAGTATTTGGTTCTAGGTTTTGTTTTGATTATGCAAAATTACATTTTCAATGATTGTCTTATTCTTCAACCAATTCAAGACCAAAGTCTAAAATATATAGTTTAAAAACTCTGTTGTAGAAATGTATGCTACTATGTTCACTAAAGGTTCTTAGAATGTCAAGTGCATTATCTATAAAAACATTCTTACATTTGCATATAGGTTGATGCACACCTTATATTTTAATAGAGTTTGTTTATGTGAATTGAATCTACTAACTCTATATTATATACACAAGCTATTAAGGCAAACTCACAGACACATATCGTATACGTAAGCTTCGAACCTAAGACCTCTTGGTTTGTAGCTAAAGCCCCCAACCAATAGACTAAGATGAGCTACATAAAATTTAAACCTTATATACATTTCTTTTGAATTAATTATCTTTTTAATGCTCGAGTACTTCAACTTGACATTAAATTTATATATGTTTTGTTTGATGAATATGTCTTAAAGCTAATACTTCTCATAATATCCATCATTACATCAAAGATCTCATCAATTACTTTCATATTATTTCACCTACCAAGTGTAAGAAGAAGAATTCCACATAAGAACATGCTAATTAAAACTATTGTAATAAAATTTTTTGGTTAGATGGATTTTTTTGGAGTGGATCTTATCCTATCCTATATTGTTGTTGGACATTACAAATGATTTGTGATGATGTAATTATGATAAGAACTATTAGATTGGAGTTTCACAAATTTTAAATCATGAGGGGCAAAAGGAGATGGATTAAAAATTAATTAATATTTATGTACAAAAACTTGAAATTTCAGAGGAGTTATTTAAAAAATGTTAAAATTTTTTTTCTTATTAAGGTTTTGTTTGGGACAGCTTCTTTAATATTTTTTAAAGTAATTTATAGTATACAAATTTAAAGTTTGTAAAGTTTTTGGACTAAAAAAAATATTTTAAAAAGCAGTAAGAAAGCTGTCCCAAATGAAATTTAAGGCTTGGTTTGTGATAGCTTTCTAGGACGACTTTTTAATAAAAAATATTTAATTCAAAAAATTTTTATACTAAAAAACTGTTTTAAAAAAGCAACAAAAAAATTGTCCCAAATAAAATCTTTTGCAGCAAATTACAATTTTTTTTACAATTTTAAGAGTATTAAATTTATGCTGATTAAAAGTTAATGAAAATGTTATGTAATATTTTTTCTATTTTTAATTATTAATTAGTTAGCAGGTCTATTTCAAGTTGGCCGACACGGACCCATCTGAATTGTACCCGAGCTCATCACATGCTTCGATCATCCTGTCTGTATTTTTAACGTGACGAAGCGGGTGATAACACTAAGAAATCCCTCGCTGAAGCTTAGGCAACCGACGCCAAGGGTTTAGGGTGAGCTATTTCCAACATCAATTGGATAATTTTTCGTCGGTCATGTAGAATCTCTCTCTAATTTCTTGTCTTGTTGTTTCAAATTGTTTCGGTTGCCGTCGTTAGGTTTTAGCAGTGAAATATATATTGTGTTTGTTTAGGTTGGAGAGAAGAGGCCCGTTTTCTAACTCGATTCCGTGTTAATTGGTCAATTTGGAGCTTTATATTTGCTGATTCTATCATGTTTGATCTTTTAGCATTGAGAGTCCAGTTGTGTGATTATGCAAATCTTATTGGTATGACTTGAGCTATTTGTTGCGGATGAATCTTTCTTCTTGGAGGGAAAAAAATGGAAGTTTGTTGTGCCGTTGTTTTCAAGGAAACGAAGAGAATTATGTTTTCATGTTTATTGGTTATTCACTTGCTTAAATTAGTTCGTCTGAAAATTAATGAAAATTTGATGTAATTCAGCTACTATAAACCGCTGTATCCTACATGAAATTCTTGTTTTTTTTTTTTTGGATATTTCTGACTTAAATGATCAAGTTCAAATTACCCTTTGCTATTTTTCAAAGGTGAATACTATCCTGATTTGGTTTTTTTCTCAGAAAGAAATACTTATCGTGCTCATAAATTTCATGTCCATGATCATTCAGGTTGCTTGGTTTGCTAATTAACTTACTGGATATTGGTTACTTGTGGTGCTGTGCCAATCTGTACTGATTTGAATGTTTATATGCGATGATGCTAGAGTAAACCATTGGTTGTTGATGATGCATATGTTTCTTAATGAAGTCCTCTGGCTTGCCATTTTATCATCCTTCGTTTGGTTGTTACTCGATATAAGATGTTTTTCACTAGGGTTAATAGCCCAGGGAGGTTGTCATTACTCATAGCTAGAATTAAAGCTTTTCACTCTCCTTGAGGTGAGTTTTGACAAGCACTTTAGTCTTGAATCTGTAATCCATTTGGCATAGAGATGTTTTCTGCCACTTGCTATGCTATCACGATTGTTGTTTTCATCACTTGCATAGGATAATGATGTATAGGCTTCACCCACGAGTAGCTTATAGTTCATCAGTGGTTACTGGTTAGTGGGCGGGTGTTTATCTAGTAAAGAACCATAAAACTGATATTGTGGCTTGCAAACTTATTTGTAATATATCTTCTTCTCATCAAACTTAAATTGAGAAAACTTCAAATTCACCAAAACTTGATAGCTTGAAATTAGTGGTCTGATCAGTACACTGAGCATTTAAGTTTTAATGAAAAATTCTCTTATTACTTTGAGTGGATTTGAAAACACATCTATACCCACAACAATTAATCCAACCTCAAAATCAACCTCAAAATAACATACAGCATGATAGAACTTAGGAATTGTGAAACTAGAATCTCCTGAATTAAAGGAAGATACCAACTAACTGACCACATTTCCTTTTTTTTTTATACATAGAACATGCATTTATTGTATTACAATATATTATCCATGATGGCAGTTCTTAGTCCCCTAGATCTAATTTTGTTGAAAAGAAACAATCAACAACTTATAATGATGTATCATTCATTTTTATATTTTTCATTGGAGTAATATTTCATACTATTTTGGTTTATATGAAATACTAACGATGTTTGGTGTTGCGAGAATAATTCTTTTTTTCTTAATATAGTGAAAAAATAGTAAATAAACTATGCCAAATATTAAAGTTTTCTGCAACAATTATTTCAATTTAGGAAAATCTGAAACAAAAAATTTTGAGTATGATGTAACAAATGAAATAATTTTCAATGAGTTTAAGCTAATATTAAAACCTTAGGGTAACAAGGAGAATTGTGGGGTAGACGAAGGGGAAACAAAGAAAATTCATATCCCAATCCTTAAAGTTGTGGAGTTGTTTATCCTAACATTTGATCATTTTTTACATTTGTTGTGAGAGAATCTTGAGTATGAGAGATTTGAAAGTGGAGAAAATTCATGTCCTAACCTTTTCTTCCATAGGTCATTTGAAAGGGGAGAAAAATTATATCCCAATCATTAGTGTTGGTCGCAAGACAATCATTGTTGTGGGAGAAGCAGAAAAGTAATAAAAAAAAACATGCAACACCTTATTTTACTTGCTCAATCAAGGTTGTCTACATTATCCATGATAATATGAGTTCTGGTTTGGTTGATCTGCCTTTGAGTCAACCAGATTTTGAAACCAAAATTTTATTGATACTAAATTAGACAGTTACTTCTGTGACAGTTGTATTATATATGAAAATAAAAAATATATCTACATATATGATGAATGGAGATTTAATATGATGAATATGATATGATGTGCATTTATGATTTATGCATAACATTATACATTTAAAGTCTTGAAGAAATAAAAGATATAATTAAATGAAATAATATTTATGATATGAAATGAAAAGAAGCATGTATTACAAGCATATTACTTCTACTATCTTGATTTACTATAGTTTAGAAGTATGTGTTACTCGCTAAGTTTTGACTTACTGTTATTGCTATGATTTTTCTTTCATTAAGTTTAATATAATCCAAATGAGTAGAAGAAACGAAAATGTGTACCGTAAATGTGAGACACCAGAATAAAGGTATTTAAGTTATTTTATATCGGTTTATATTTTTGATGTTTAGTGACTCTTTCAAGTTTATTGAGATAATTTTAAAGGAATTGAAAGTTTGATCTACTGTTCGACCGTCTGTTCCCGCCTAGTTAATTCGAGCCCTTGGGCCGGATGGGGTATTGAGTGCGGGAAATTGATTTGGTGTTGTGGAAAGGAAATAAAAATTTTTGTTTTTATATTTTAAATTTTAAGAAACATGTATCTGACATGCTTCTCTAATTTGCATTTAATATTATTTTAACTAAACACATTTTCGATGTGTTTAACACGTGTCGGAGGTGTGCAGGATGCGTGTCGTGTCGCACACTGCACTCCTCTTTGAGAAGTATTGGTGCATCATAGATGATACCTTATTAATAAATCAATAGTGCAAAAGAAAAAAAAAAAGATAAAGATTATAAAAATACACAAGAAATTTTATGCTTCACCTTTCAATATTATTTTGAAGATTAAAAAGATGTCAAATGAGTGTGTTGATTCATATTTTTAAGAATAAAGGTGATACACAAGAGCATGCGAATTATAGAAAAATTAAATTAATGTGACATACTTTAAAATTATGAGAGTGAGTTATTGAGCATATGTTACGACGCGATACTAATGTTTCTCAAAATCAATTAGGATTCATGCCGGATAGGTATACTATGGAAGCTAAACATTTATTGAGAGGTTTGATGGATAAGTATAGAGAGAATAAAGAGGATCCACATATGATATTTATTGATTTAAAGAAAGCATATGATAAAGTTCCAAGGGAAGTGCTTTGGAGAGTTCTAGAACAGAAAGGGGTTAATAATACTTATATTCTAATGGAGGGATTGTGACTTTGGCGATCAAGTCATTAATAAGAGTACACGTTTTAGATATCTTTGATCTATTGTTTAGAGTGATGGTGAAATAGATAGAGATATTATTAGTAGAATTCAAGTTGGATGGTTGAAGTAGAGGAATGCCTGGTCTGTTGTGTGATAGAAAATTACCCCTCAAACTTGAGGAAAAATTCTATAAAATGGTGGTGCGATCTTCAATGATTTATATTGCAAAATGTTTGCCATTAAAAGAGAAGCATAAAATTAAGTGTTACAGAGATGAGGATGCTCAAGTGAATGAGTGGCTTTACTTTTAGAGACAGAATGTGAAATGAGCATACATGTGAAGAGGTTGGAGTAGCTCCAGTTGTAGATAAGATTGGAGAGAGCCACCTTAAATGTTTTGGTCACATAAAACATCGGCCTTCCGATGACCTGGTTATGAGAGTAGATGTATTAGATTTGACCTATGTTAAGAAAGATAGAGGTCGACCTAAAAATTCGTGGTTAGAAAATATTAAAAATGATCTTTTTTATTAGATTTAAATGAGAATTTGACTCTTAATAGGTTATAATGGAGAAAAATGATTCGTGTAGCCGACCTCACATAATGGGATAAATGTTTGATGTTAATGTTGTTGTCATCTAATAGCTGGCTGTGCCTTGTTGATGCTACTACAAATTTTACTCAGATTTGAATTTAGAGAAAAATACAAGTACAAATATCAGATACCCCTCTTTATTAAAAAAGCTTAGGGTAACTAAATTATAATAAAATTTAAAAATATTTTTAATGAAATAACTACAGTTATTGAATACCTAGGGTTATGTCTGTGTAGCGCTTTTTCTTTGTAGGGTAAAATTAGGCTTCACAAATTGGCAAAGAGAGGTTGGGTCCCTTTTGGGAGGGGTATCATTTTGAGTTAAAATACACTGGGTGGAGTGTGGCTTTTCATTGGACTTGTCTTCATAGCTGTCTATTACGTTAGTGTTTGAGTTGATCCGCATTGGCTCTACAACACAGCAAGGATGTCAAGCCCAGTCTTTCTCAAAAGTTAATACAAATTATATTTTTTACTTCTTGATTATCATCTAAACACTTTACTTCTGTTCCTATTACATTATTATTACATTTTATTTTATCTTCAGATAAAGGCATTGATGATCATACTTCTTTTGCTGCCATGCAATTTTGAGATGCTTAAAGCTGTTTACTGTTTTTATTTAATGCATCGCAGATTCATGAGTGAGAATCTTTATATAGTTGAAGTATATAACCTTTCACCAAATGCAACCGAGAGAGATCTTTATGACTTCTTCTCTTTTTCTGGTGTTATTGAGCACATAGAGATTATCAGGTGAGAGTACTTTAACTGTCTTAGTAAACTGTGATTTTCCAGCATTTCTACGCTTCAGCATGCATGCTTTTTTACATTGATGATGACCATCACTCATATGTAGGTATACCTACAGGCACATAAACATAGTATATACGTGTAGCATCCAACATATATACAGACATTCAGGTACATGCATGTGAAAGCCACCCTGCTGAATTTAGAGGTGGATTTTGAGGGGAAAAAAGGATCCACTTTGGGATAGTAAAAAAATAAATTGCACCAAGAGAGCGTGTCAAATAGGTGCGTAAGCTTTAGGGCAATAGAATTGCACTAAATTACTCGAAAAAACCTATTTATAGGTGTTTCAATAAAAACTACTTGGATGATATTTGATTTCGGAAGTAAACCCTTAAAAAACCAGTTTTAAATTAGTTTTTGTGAAATCAACTTAGTTGAGAAATTTGTTAATGCAATTGCTTGTCGCTCTATTGAGGTAAACTCTGAACTTCAGAGGAAGTTTAACATTGAACACTGAAAAGAGTTTACTGCAGAAATTGATAAAAAGAAAATATGACTAGAAATATCTGCCCAACTTAGAAAAAAAATACATATACATACACCTTATTTCTTCTATGTGGGAAAAATACAGTTGAAGGACCCACAAATATGGAAAAACAAGAATTGTCAACCAAGATAAAGAGTTTGTGATAAAAAAGAAGAAATTTTTTAAGAAAAAACATGCTTAGAAGAAGAGTAATATATTTGATTTTCTTATTTATGGGCTTTCATTGATAAAGCGGAATCAAAGGATTTAAGTGGTGTTTTTATATCACTTATTGATAAGACAGACACTCTGATAAGTTATTTCATGCTATCAATAAGCAACAACAACATCATCAAACCTTAATTCGGATGTGCATCTTCTTGCATGTATAGATTGTCTTTTTTGAAAGTGTTGTTTTGATGCAAATGCACCTATTTATCATGCAAAATTGTGTTCTTTTATGCATGTGTTAACTCTCACACATGCACAGAAGAAAGCAGTTTTGCATGTGCCTATAAATAGGTGTATTTGACAGCAAAACTTCCGAAGAGGCAAGTTAATGTTGACATAAACATCACTTGCACATTTAGGTTGTAGGCAGCTTGGCATGTGCATGTTTTGCAATTATATTTTTGTCGCATGTGTGCTATTGGGGCCAACAAGGGCCTAGCAATGGTCATTATTAGTTTTGTTAATTCTAATTTAAAATATTTGAAAAAAGCTCAAGTTTGATATCTTCTCTACAATCAGGTGAAAGTTTTTGCTAGGTAGTATGAACTAAAATTGTATCAAAGTTGGGCTTGATAAACCAATGGTCACATCCAATATTCCACTCAAAGCCTTAAGCCTATCGGTGAAGTTTAACCACTTGTATTTTTACATCATATTTTTATGTGATATGAGGTTTAACCCTTAACAATCCCCCTCTCATGTGAGAGCTTGTCACATCTACCTCACTATCCATCAAATTTAAGCTTGTTAATTATCATTCACCAATAGCCCACTCAACTACATGGAGGCAATAGTAGTGATTTGATCCACTCTTAAACTTTGTTCATAGAACCCACGAAAGACCCATGTGAGTCACAATCGTATAAATTACTTGATCTCAGTCCAACCATCAGCTCTAATACCATGTTTTAGAGAGTATAAAGCAAAAGGAAATCAAAATTGGGCCAATAATTTGGTATAATTACGTCAATATTTTTTCAATCAGCTATTATGGACTATACTAACATATTCATCTGCCTTAACAGTTTCCTAGACTTTAGCTCCCTGCTGTATATTTTCTTCTCCGTCTTCCCTATATTTCTCCTTTTTTTAGTTCATATACTCTCTTATGTGTCTTCCTTTATTTCTTTGTTTTTAAAATTCATTTTTCCAATGTTTCAAACAACTAACCTCTCTTTGGAGGTCAAAGGGAAACCATTCAACCATATTGCTCTTCTCACTTTTTAGTTTTCTCTTTTCTGTATTTTAATTTTGAGCTTCAAAGCACTTATAAGTTATAACCCTTCACTAGAAGATCCTTCAACACCCTTTCTTTGAGCTCTCGCACCTTCCCACCCCAAAGTTGATCTTTACTGTCGCCCAACCCCAAAGTACCTCTTTATCCATCTTTCCACTGTTTTATCTCTTGCCTCTATTAACTGTAGACCATCTCTGTCTTCATTCTCTCATAAAATTTCTCCATTTTCACGATATTTGATTTCAATTGAATGAACTCTTCAGTGAGTTTGTCTTTGCGTGCCCAAAAAAGTTATTCTTTTATGCTATCAAATTGCAAGCATTTATGATTATTTAATATTAATGTTTAATAATAGTTATTATAATCGATGCAATGTAGTGTGTGATTTGTAGGCCAAAATGTATTTATTTGATCGACATATCAAAGGAAAATATATGGTAAATTACATATTCTGGAACAAGATAAAGTTACTTAAATGGTGCTGAGCCTTTGTCTCAAAAGTTTTCCTTACAAATAATGCTTCTGCCTCAGAAAACCAATAACATCAAGCACCTTATGAATATAATTTATGGTTCTGCTCGTGTGAATGGGCAACTATTTGCAGTGGCACTTTCTTTTGTCCAAAAGTAAAAAAAAAAAAGTCAAGAAATTGTGTGGGAAATTCCATTTGAGCTAATAAAAATAATGTAACCAAATAAATAAATAGTAAAATGACGAAAACTAAGAAAATTATATTGGAAGGAGGATGATGCAAATGCTCTATGTGATTTGCAGAAATTTGTTTAAGAGTATTAATGAAGAATGAGATTAATTTAGCATACTAGCCATTCCTAAATGGCAGGTTGTTGTTCTTTTGAATTGAAAACGTAGATGCTATCTGGATGGCTCAAGCTTATGAAGGACTGCTGGTTTTGTGTTGGACTTTCCACTAACTTAACCCTGACAGGAGCCTCGACCGTTAGAGTACTAAGCATAGCTCCTAGGAAAGCATATATAATAAAAGAGACTGCATGCATTTATGCAAACATGCATACATCCATCTTTATCCTCGTATATGTGCATTTAATAACAAAGTTATTGATTCTTATAAATGCAGATCAGGAGATTATGGTTCTACGGGGTATGTAACATTTAAAGAACCTCATGCCTTGGAAACTGCAGTTTTGCTCAGTGTAAGTTTCCTTAAAAACTTTCTGAAAAAGATGATACGTTTGCTTCTTTATAATTTTTCATGCATGGAGTTGTTATTTGGTTTGAGGAACGGGTTAGACATTAGTTCCATTCAAAGGAACTCATTACACTTGGAACTGTGGTTTTGCTCTGAGCATGTAAACTTTAATATATTGGTGTGAAAGAAAAGAAGTTACATTTTAGCTGTTTTTAGTTATTTCTCGTGGTATGCCATGAAAAAAAATTAAACAAGAATAATTTCTAATTTAAATTTGAAGAATAAGTTTTCTAGTTATTTGAAGTAGTTCTACTTTTTGGCTCATCAGAGTTAACACATTTTTTTAACAAAATATTCATTATTTTGCGGTTTATATGTTGAAAATGTTACTTAAGAATTGTTTGCACGCTGTCATTTCAATGACTCAACCAATCACTACATTTCTGTGATTAACTGGTATGAGATTTGATAAGTTTTATTTTGATTCGAGAGGTCTCAATATCTTAAATCAGCCGAACTTGGAGCAAATTAAGCAAATAAAGATGGATTTTAATTATGTAAAATCAAGGCCAATAAAATATATGCAAGCTTAAATTAAGCAAGAGGACCTATGATATTAATGCGGGACCTTAATTTATGTTAAATGGGTTTAAAATAAGAAGTTTAGGTATGATTTTTATCCAAAGTAACAAAGATGCTGAATTGTTTGTTAATATTAAATTTGAAGGAAATTGAATGAGTGAAAAATCAACTCTACGATTTAAGTTAAGCATGGAGATATCAAATATTAGAGGCTAATTCCAAGGAATATACATTCACATAAGAGGAAGAGCTGAGAATAATTCGCAATTCGGCCACTAGGATGATGACTAGCCTTAATTGAAAGTTCACATAAGAGGAAGAGTAGAGAGAATATACATTCACACCAGATACTATGTATATGTTTGACGACTAGCCTTAATCGAAAGTTCTCTCTCGTTACTGGGATGAGTAATGAACTATAGGTGCTTATGCCTATAGGAATCAGAACTCTGATTATAAAGTCCTCGCAAAATGAGAGTGAAATCTCTGAGTAGTCTCTGATTATAAAGTCCTCGCAAAATAAGAAAACAAACGCCGCACCCGTATCCAATATTTTTAAAAAATGCCATGTCTCGTGTCCGTGTCCGTGTTGCTGTGTCTATACATCATAGATAGAACCTAATTAGAATATTTCTTAATCAATTCATAGCAAATTTTTTTCTCTTCGATCATATCAGCATTCTCGAAAAAATACTGTATTTGATCCCATAAGAAATCCAATATTTTTGCATACCTCTTGAACAATCTTATATGAAACTACTGGATCCAAAACATTCCACATCTTCATTTCCGAATCAAATCTAGTGTCTTAATACCATTGTATTGCTGTGTAGAGTTGATCTCCAAATTCATTAAAGTGTTAAAACTGATTTTAATAAGAACCATCTTTGAGATGTAATTGAAGTTTGTTTCTTATTTCTAATTAAGCCTGAAGAAAAGCTACTGAGGAATATGGTTGTCTAAATCGACTGCAAGTAAAATGTTTTAGGTCTTGCTAGCATAGAGCAGAAACACATACAAGGAGGTTACAATTGAATGGTCAAGATGGAGGATTTCGCAAAAGTTGCGTGATTAAAAGCTGTCAAAACAGGATTTTTCTGAACTAGAATCAAACACTCAACAAAACTCTTTGTCACTTAACGGTAAAGAAAAATTTTAAATCTTTCCGGAATATTGCTAGTATTAAAAGATGAGGTTGATTGCTTATGGTGAAAACCTGTATAAAAAGTTGATCTGTCACTAGTGTTCATTGCTCTAACGTGCATTCTCTTTTTTGAATGCTGCAAATTCATCTTTTTAACCACTTTAACTTCATTTCATTTTCTTAGGGTGCAACCATAATAGATCAACAAGTGTGCATAGCTCGCTGGGGGCACCATGAAGAATCTTCGAGCTTTTGGGACCAGCATTCATGGAGAGTGGATGATAATGAGACAATGGTATGTTCTGTGCCCAAGCATTGATGTCCTCTTCTTATTTCATCATTTTTTATTTAAAATTTATTTAAATCAACCTGAAATCCTCAATCACTCCAGATTTATTTCAACAATTTCAGAACCCAAATGAGTTTCTCTAAGGTTTTATTTGGATTAATGGAAAGTGGGAACTGAAATGAAATTTTAGCAATAGGTGATTATGTTTTAGAACCCTTTTTTCTATCTCCTTTTACTCAAATTCTCTTAACCTAAAACGAAGCAGGCACATGAGGATCACTTCACCACCACACCAAGAGAGGCCATAAGCATGGCACAAGAGGTGGTGAAGACAATGATAGCAAAAGGATATGTCCTCGGCAAAGATGCCTTGTCCAAGGCAAAGGCCTACGACGAATCCTACCAAGTCTCTGCCACCGCTGCATCCAAGGTTGCTGACATGAGCAGAAGGATTGGTCTCACTGATAAGATAAATGCTGGAGTGGACGCCATTTGCTCAATTGATGAGAGATATCACGTAATGGACACAACAAAGACTGTGTTATCTGCAACTGGAAGAACTGCAGCTGCTGTCGGTAACTCCATTGTTAACAGTAGCTACTTCTCTGCTGGAGCTCTCTTGGTTTCTGATGCTCTCAGCAGAGCTGCTAAGGCTGCAGCAGATCTCAGCGAAAGGGGTGCTAGACATTGAAGCCTTTTATAAATAGTAAGTGTTTATTGAATAATACATGTAGGTAATGTGTTAAATGCTGTTGAAGCTTTTGTTATGGATCTTAATAAATGAAGGCATGATTTATAGAAATAGCCCCTGTTAAAGCCACATTTTGCTTCTTAAATTTGTCAAGAAACTATGTTGTTTGGATTTGGTTTTTGTGTTTGTAATTACTGAATTTTAACTTTTATTTTCACCTGCAATTTTTTTGACCATTAAGTGTTTGAGTAGTAATCATTTCAAACATATGTGAACCAGAAAAATGCTATGTGGCCAGGTTTAAGAAAGATGTTCATGTTCAAGAACTATGGCACAGAAAATTAACATTTTAGCTGAGAAATTTTTTGATATGTTTGGTTTTTTGGTAATCGAACCAAGTTCTTGCCTTATTTTTTATGGGAAAGGCCATGTTATTTGATATGATACCTTATTGTAGGGGTGTAAACGAGTCGAGTCGAGTCGAGTCAAGTATCTATCTAACTCTATCTGAGCTCAAGCTCGTTTACTGAGCTCGAGCTCGGCTCGTTCGAAAATCATTAGGCTCGAGGTTGGCTTGTTTACCCGAGCTCGTTAAGAAAACTCTAGCTTTGCTCGTTAATTAATTAAAAATATTTAGTATATATTTTATTATATTATTTTAAAATTTGATAATATATTTTAATTTAAACAAGCGGCTTGACAAGCTTACGAGCCGAACCTAATTGAGCTTGAGCTTGAGTTTGTATAATGTGAGTTCGACTATTGGTTTGAGCTCGAACTTGTGATTCGATAAGCTCGACTCATGAGCTCGTTAATTTAATTTGTCTAATTAGAATAGAATTAAGAAGTTTAAGAGAAAAATTTCCTATTTTCTTGCTTGTTGAGAGCTTTTGTGATTTTAGTTGGAGATGCTGGAGACAGAGAACTCAGAAACTAATTATTATTATTTTTGTTTACTGTTTAGCATAGAGACATGAAGAATTCATTGCATTTTGGTCAAATTAGCTTTCTTTAATGTATAAAACAAAATAAAACTCTATGTTTCATTACTTTGGTGATCTGTTAACTTGTTTGAAAATTTGGATGCGCACTCAACTTCTTACAGCTTTGAAATATGGTGCTTAGCTTGTTACACTACATACTATACACCATATCCGATGATTCATCTCTTAAGATCAAAGCTACTAAAAAAAGCTCATCCAAAAGCTCTTTAGGATCTTCTTCGGGGTCAACACAATTAGAGATCTAAACATTTAGGTTTCATTTGGGACGGCGTTCTTACTACTTTTTAAAGGAGTTTTTTATTATAAAAATTTAGAAAGCTCCTTTAAAAAATAATAAGAAAGTCGCCCCAAACCAAGTCTTAGACTTCGTTTGGGATGCTTTTTTTATAGCTTCTTAAATTAATTTTTTAGTACAAAAATTATACTTCAAAATTACTTTAAGTAGTCAAAAAATCATCCCAAATAAAACCTTAATCTGATCATAAAAACTCATTGCATGGTTCATGTACGTAGGCATTTTCCCATTCTCCTATGGTGCTATAATTTTCGTTGTGTTGGTTTCATTTGAACTGTATATTGGAGAAGGAAAGTCATTCGAGAAGAATTCTGATTCTTGTAGTAATAATGAATAAACAATTAAGTGTATTTAGTGTAGTGTATAAGGTGGAGATCTACATATGAGCAAATAAAAAAATTGAGATAATTTAAATGATTGAGGGCGAGGCCATGAAATTAAAACCTATCATTTATGGAGATAGAGGATCTGTTTGGAAAATCTATGCTTTTTATAAGGGTGGTTGTAAAACTATCATGAAATAAACAGCTTCACAGCATAATAAAATATTGAAAATTGGTAAAAAATAGTGGCAAAATAAAAATTATGATTGCAGTTTGAAAAATAAATAAGTAAGAAAGCTGTCCCAAATAAAGCTGGAGTGGGAGTTGCAAGAGAGAATTCCATACTTGATCATAATTTCAAATGTATAAGAACTACTTGTTTATGTAGGTCACCAAATGAAAGAACAAAAAAGAGGTCTCTCTTCTAGGAAAAATTATTTTATGCGGATCCGGGCGGCATCCGGAGACCAATCAGAACACGCCACATCACTTTTTTGCTTGGTATCAGTGCTCGGTACAGGGTGATGTGGCGCATTCTAATTAGTCTTTGAACTATCCAGTATCCGCACAGAATAATTTCTCCTATTCTAGTAGCCAAGCCAAGGATAAAAGATAATGGAGCCACCAAGATGTCATCTCATTTTAGAATGTAATTCACCCCATTTTTTTTCCATCCACATTAGGTATTTATTGAAAATGACATGACAAATATCGTAAATTTTTTGTCAAATGCCCTTTCAAAATTTTAAATATGAGTCTTCACATTCTCAATTCATCTTGGTTGGTTTGCTGGTTGAGAGTATTGATTACTAGTCAAGAAGTCTTGGGTTCGAGTCTTGCGTATATGATGTGTGTATGAATTTATCTAAATTGGCCTAAATGTTCAAAAAAATTGTATTCGCATTCTAAAATGACTTTTAATATGCCCATGTTGACTATTAAGCATTGCTATGTTGATTCCACCATAAATTCGACCATATGGCTCATAGATTTCTTGAAGATAATAAGTAGTCGAAATTCTTCATGCCCATTGTAAATGAGGTGCTATGTATGATTAAAAAAATGAAAGGTATGCAAGCTTCTAAAACTAGGCCATGAATTATGCTTCAAGTTTATATCATCCTTGGTTATCATCACATCTTTTAAATAACAAGGTGGATGGCCACATGGTGATATCCATTAAGATTTGTGTATCCATTAATATTTGTGTAATTAATCTCCTCTTGATTATTAAATAATACATTATGATAAGCTCATATAATGTTCACTTCTATTCTTAAAATATTACGCGTATTCTTAATATAAAATTTATTATCTTTGAAAATCATGCAAATAAAATTAGCGAAATGAGGAAGGGATGGAAAGTTAATGTCACGACTCGGCTCGAATTAACGAGGTGGGAATAGACAGAAAAATACTCCGTCGTGAAATTTATAATTTGATCTTAATTTCTCTAACTTATAATTTTAAATTATAAATTAAAATCTCAAATATTATTGCTTTAAATTGCTCTCTCTCTAATTAATTATTTAATTCACTAATTAAAATTTAATTTTTAAACTATTTGTTCTCTCTCTCTCTTTATATAAAAAATAATTTCTTTATTATCATATTTGAAATTTAATTTTACTTTAACTTTTATCATTCAATTTATTATTTATATAATTAATTATCTTAATTAATATTTTTGAATAAATCATATTTCTAAATTACAGCAACACAAGGAATTTGAATAATATGCATACTCATTTCCAAATACAAATTAATTCCATTTAAATTCATCATGACCATCAATGTTATGAATATATTATATTTTGAACTTTTCTTGTAAATAATACAACCGTTAGGAGCCATAATTTAAAATTAGTACCAATGAAGGTACTCTTTTTTCAGTTCATTTTCCTTTTACTCATTTACCTCAGCCCACAATTTTGCCCACTCGACTCACCAGCTTCGCCCCTGTATGCAATAGGGTCGATTCAACTGAACCAGCCAAGCCCAATTCTCATAATTAATAATTCTTTTATTCTCCATTTGATTCCATGGACAAATAGTATTCATTTTGGTGCCATAGTCCTATATCAACTATCCTCGATCTTTTTTATATTTCTAAGCTTCATAATTAAATTGTTGAAATTGGAACGAAATTTGAAAATGCTAATATAATAAGCAAATATGATATGAAGACTAAGGCTTATTTTGGACAGTTTTTTTAATGCTTTCTAAAATAATTTTTAGTATAAAAATTTCTTAAACTAAAAATTTATATTAAAAAGTTGCTTTAAAAAGTAATAAAAATCTATCGCAAGCGAATCTTAAGATACCTAGAATCTAATATGAAAGAATTTTTCTTTTATCTTTTATTATATAATAATCAGAGCAATCTGATATCTTTTAATAGTAATAAACAATATAAATAAATTCTATAATTCAAAATATGAATGTATTTCTCTATTCATTACTCTGAAAATCATATACAATACTCATGACTCATATAATTATAGCAAGTCTATCTAATTCCTAATAAGTATAATGAATTAATAATAGTAACAATAAATCAATAGTAGTATCAGTAATAGTTCAATCATAGTATCGGTGATTGTATCGATACAAGTAAATTCAGTGGCAATAATAATAAATTAATACTATAATAGTAATTCGTATCGTAATGAATATGTAAAACGCAATTCAGTAGTCAGATTAAAAAAAGTAAGAAATCCTGGCATCATGATGTTTTTAAATATTATATTAATATCAGTAAATTATTGACTCAATAAATAGAGCCGTCACTTGATGTATGAGTGTAAGTCCTACAATAATTGGTGGTTCGGCGGAAGTCCAACGATAGTTGGTGGCCGGGCATAAGTCCGACGATGGTCGGTGGTCGAGCGTAAATTCGACGGCAATTAGTGGCTGGGTAGAAGTCCAGTAACAATCGGTGGTCGAGCGTAAGTCCGATAATAGTTGCTAGCCAGGTGGAAGTCCGACGATATGGGGTGATCTGGCGGTGATTGAGAAGAAGCTTAGTGGAAAGATATCTCATATTTCTCTTGCTATCATCTTTTTTCTTTTCTTTTTTCTTCTCAATTGTGAAGAATGTGGGTCTATTTATAATTTTCTGAGAGTGACATGGCTAGTAAATAAGGAGAAGATCAATAGCACGTTGGGAGTGATCCGAATGGTTCAAAGATATTGATTCCCTTGACGTACCATAAATAATTTATGGGGCATTTGAGTTCCTTAATGATGTCAGAATTCGCGATACTGGGCTTATTAGATTCGTCTCGTCGAGTTGCATGATTCGACTAT